AATATTATAAGTCACAACTTAATAGACAATCATAAATTGTTAAATTATCAGTCACAAATTAAAAAAATTAGGTCATACATTATTTCTTGATCACAATTTATCTTTTTCATTGGTAACGTATTGTTTATTGGTCACAAATTAACCAATTTAATGGTCACAATCAACCAAATAATTTGTGACCACAATCAACACTTATGACCATCACCGCACCACTCCCTCCGCAGCACCACCGCCACCTTTGTCGCCAAAACCACCATCACCACCACCTCCTGACAACAACACAACCACCTCAAACTAATCAACACATAACAGAAAAACACCACCACATCGTTACGCCATTCCACCACCATCGTGACAAACCTATCCCCATCGATGTCGCCGCCGCCACCAACAAAACCACATCCACTTTCAGAATACTCTAGTACCCAAAACCCCACTACATCCCATACCCAGCCTACCTCATTAGCTGACCCAAATTCAATATTGCGTCTTCTTCTTCCAAACCCTACAGCAACCACCATCGCCGTCGCCACCATAATCCCTAGTCGTGAACCACCACTGCCTCCCACTAACATCCATCATCGTTGGCACCACCACTCATTTCAAACCACACCATCATCTTCATTCCTCGACACAGCCCACACCACGACCAACATCATTGAACCACCACCACCATGTGGTGCTTCGTAGATCACTGTAAGGACAAATCCGTTGCAGCGGCTACTCAACAGATCGCTGGGGTACAGGTGAAGGCGGGCAGATCGCTGCCGACGACGGTACGCGATCTCGAGCAGCGCTACTCCGACATCTTCTCTTCTGGCGGCGACGGTGAGGTAGAGAAAAGGGAACGTAGAGTAGAGAGTGTGTGGGATAGAGAGAGGAGAAAAAATGGGCGACAGTGAAGTAGAGTAGAGGGATAGAGAGAAAAGAGAGAAAATGTAGAAGATGAAATAATTAAGGGGCCGTTCTCTTTGGCGTTTTCGAATCGTTTTCTGTTTTCGGTTTTCCAAAACAGTGAAAACGCGTTTACTTTCCTATTTTCGAAAACGCGTTTTTGAAAACGAAAAATTTTTTGTACACAAAACAAAAAACGAGAAAAACGTTGTTTTGGAAGTTTTCAAGCCAATCCCACGAAAACAACCAAAACACGGGAAACAGCTAAAAAAGGCTACTGTTCCTTCTTCAACCAAAACAA